CAGGTTAGGCCAGGCCAGGCTGGGCTGCAGGACCCAATGCAGGCCTCTAGGCTGTGATATATTTAAGCAAGGATTCTATTTTTATATTAGTTAACACTATATTGTCTTTAAGATTATGAGTTAGTGTATTATCAATTAAAAGTAATATTTGGTGATTTTTAAGACATATTATTGAATTCAAATCTTTTATATAATGTTGCCAAATAGATTTTTGCATCCAAGCAGTCTTGTTTCAGAAATACTCAACTAGTAAATTTTTTTTGTTAATATTTCTAAGCACATATGGGTTTTTATATTTATGAATAAACAATAGTTTTAATTTTTCTGTTCCTGTTGCATTAGAAGTTAATAAAATTATAATCCTTTCTTTTGCTTTTTTTGTTTCTAAAACTGGACCTGTTGCTAATGTATAAAAAGGCTTCATCTGGTAATACAAACTAGTTTCATCACAATTAAAAACATTCTCAAGCCTATAAAGTTGAATAACACTTTGTAGTTTACTTCTAAATTCAGATAATTTTTCCAAAGATGCACTATTAGCTTCATCTTGTCTCTTATACTCACTAATATTGTGTCTTTTCTTAAAGTTATATAACCAACCATTTGAAGCATTAAATTTATCTTTATTCAGTAATAATACAAATTCTTTTATTTTATTTTGGAAAGATAGGCTGTTAATGTTTGCTTATTACCTATAACATGTTCTATCCAAAGTGCCATTGCCAATTCAATATTAACAAAAACAAGTTTTTTGCTTCTCTTATTTGTTGTATCTTTTGAACCTAAATTGATCAATAACCAATGATCTAACTTTGCTAAAATTTTACTACATATTGATTTACTAATACTATATTGGGTAGCAAGGTTATGATTTTTAATACTAGGTTCATTCTTTTTTTGAAAAGATAAATCATATCTTTGTTTGTTAGCTAAAGTAACCCTTCTTTTCTTTTGATCTTTACTATTACTATTATTGTTTTGTTGCTTATTTGTACCAGTGTCCATTACTGTACTTGTTAAATAAAAGATGTGAAAATTTTAACTTTTTTTTTATATTATACTGATTAATGATATTATACAAATGCTTCATTATCTTATTTAATAATTTATTATATGAAGATATTTATTATAACAAGATAATTTTGTTATAAACAAAAATTAAATTATTTTGTTATATGTTATAACAAGATTTTATAATTAAATTCATTATATCAAGGTTAATTTATTAATAAAAAATTTTAGTTGAAAAAAATCTTCATTATAATGCCATATTCAGTTTATTAAGGTTCATTATATCAAGGTTATACTGTATCGAGTATATATCAAAGGTAGATATATAACATATATATAGCATATATTATATGTGTATTGAGTATATATATATATATTAAATATATATGTATTAGATATATATTAAAGATATATCATAGAAAAGAGTTTGATTTTTTTTTCTTAAAATTTTACTATTTACTTAAATAGCCTATGACAATAATTAAGAAAGAAATGAAACAGTTTTAAATTCTCAAAATTGTATAAAAACTGTCACAAAACTATCTTTGATAAGCTTATAACAGCCTAAATCAAAAAATACTGATATATTTTGATACATATTCCAATATTAAAGTTATAAAAAAATAAGTATATCTAACTATGCAATCTAAAATTAATTTATTGAAATAGCAAATTGTTACTCTACAAATCGAACTTGTATTAAAAAAGCAGATTTAAAAAATACAATCTGAAATCGATATATTAAAAGTGCAAATTAATAAAATAACAAATAATAATGAAGATATATACTTAATAATACAAATTGGCAGTTATCTTTAATTTATCCTAACAATATTCAATTTATAATTAATTATGCTTTATTATGATCTGAAGATAAAGTTAATCAAGTTAATTTGGCAAATTTGTATCAAGCATATTTTATTTAGTGTGATATTAATAATAAACAATCATTAAATAATTTTAGTTTAAAAAAAAAGCTTTTATCAATCGAAATTAAAAAAAAAACAAATATGAATTGGTAGAAAAAGAGAATAACAATACATTCTTGATCAATCTAAAATTATAAATAAGATATATAAATTATTTAATAATAAGTAATTATATTTTATAATCAATACATGCATTTCTAAATAATAACATATGACTAAATCAGATGCATATGATTTTTTTCACTATTTATATTATTATCAGCTTCCACAAATGATGCATAAACTACAATTAGATTGTTAATCTTATAATAAAACTAACCTATTATATAACCTATATTGAAGACTACCTTATAATAAAAATTAGTTAAAATAACTATTTAGATATACATTTCCAATATCAAATTTAAAAATCTAAAAGCTTCAAAACATTATACAATATAGTTAAATAGGACTCATTATATCCTAAATTAGAGATTACTCTATATTTTAAATCAGCCAGGATTACTAATTTGTATATAATGCATTACATATAGTTTAATGATAAAAATCAGCTGAATTGTCAATCTGATATATAATAGTTTAAGTATAGCAAAAAAAAACAAATCATAACACTGTAGTATGTAGTGAAAAAAATAAATTATAACATCTTAGTATATAGTAAAAAAAATGAATTATGCTATTTTGATAAGTGAAAATAATATAATTATGTTATTTCTACTATATTCTATATACAACTTCTAGATACTTGTATTGTATTATTATATCTTTTAAATATTACTACAAAAATTATTTTATTAAATAGTTGTTTAATTAGTATAAGTCTAAAAAAAACAATAAATTAAATATTTTTAATATCATAAAATTTATTGTTCAAATATAAAAAAAAATGTTATCAAAAACAGTATATATATAAATAAAATATTACATTAATAAAAAAACTGTTAAAATTAGTAAGTTAATTACTATAAATTATTATATCAAATATTTAGATATTTTAATTTTATATTACAATAAACTTTGATTTATATCTCTAAATATTTTGTATGGTATATAGTATATTATATAAAATATTTTATAAGAAAAACAATAAAAGAATAATTTCTATTTAATTAAATATTGATTTATATCAGAGTTACTTACAAACTACTACAATAAATATATCTAATATGAATCAAAAAGATATATTATAAAAAGATTTCTTGTATAATAATTTATTATATAATAATGATAAAATTAACAAAATTAGTTTTTCTAAAAACAAAACAAAAAAATAATTATTTATATATTTTAATTAAAATAAATTAAAGTACTTATTATATTATTATAAAATAATATTCAAGATATTATTTCATAATTATATAATAAATAATTAATTAATATGTTAATTTTATTAAAAATTTCTTTTTATATATAAGTATATAATTGCTTTTGACATATAGAGATACTTCCAGTTGTTCAAAATACCAAAAAACCTACTAATAATAATAACAATGAGTTAATGAAAGAAATAAAAACAGATATTGAAATACTTAATTTTCAAAATATAATAAATCTTAAAACTTATATTAATTATTCAAAAAAGAAAAATACAAATAAGGTCTTGAATGATTAGGAAATCTTAACTTTAGTCACTAATATAAAACCCAATAAAGAATTAAATAAAGATGACAATAATGAAGAAGATAAAATAACAGTAAGAAAATTTCTCTGGTTACTCATTATGAAGTGCTAAATGCTATAAAAATGCTAAAATAATACCTCATGCAACAGGATCTAAGTGATGCAACCTGGTTAGATCACGACCAACCATTATTAAATTTACAAAAGGCAATCAGAAAGTTTCGAAGTACATCTTTTAGACAAGTGAACCTTGAAACCTTCTTTCAGATCGACTGATTAACTGAGTAACAAGTAAATTAGTAAATTTTCTTTCGGGCTGGGGTCTTAAAATATAACTTAATCAGAGTAAACAATACGTAGATCGTAAATTTATTGTTACATATAAATAAAGTAATAAACTATAGGTTAAAGGGTTATTTATAAGCATTTAAATTTACTTTGTAAACTTGTTAAAATTCTAATGTCATTAACAGTGTCACGTGATAATAGATCTATCACGATCTTATTGGCTGTTCCCTAATTGCAGCCCCTGTCCCAATGACGTGATTTAGGGGGTTGACGTTGACTGTACATTATTTTTATATTAACTGTATTAATGATTAGTAAAATTCTACTAGTAAGAAATGATACCATTTACAAATATAATAATAAAAAAAATCAGAATCCATTACGAATTGCATGAAATAATACGTTCTAACGGTTTTTTTTTGCTGCATTGCCAGTGTAGATTTCAATGTTAGGGTTGGAGTGAAAAGGTTATAAAGGGGATTTAGCAACAATCTATATCAAAATTTATGAGTAGAATTTTGTTTCTTAGAGCACTAAGAGCGGTTTCATAGAAATAAAAAGGTTTTTTTTCTTAATTTTTTTGATCAACCTGTCACATTCCGGACATCCGCCCTGGCTGGATCTGTTCTGAACATTTTTACTTAGTATTAATGTTCCGCAAACGACTACCCGAATTGGGATGTTAACATTCCGATGTCAAAATGTGACTTAATTATTATGACGATGGAGCTAAAAATCCCCTACAGTTCCAATTCGGGTACCCGTTCGTGGAACACTACTTAGTATATCTGACTCTGTTTCTTAGCCCCGTTTTTGAGATATTGCACCTCAGGTAATTTTTCAGATTAGCAATTCTCAAAAAACTAAAAACTATACGTACTATACAAAATATATAATAAAGTTTTAATTTATTTTTACTTTTTTTTGAAAATTATAATATTGATATTTGAATTATTAATTAAGAATGTTTTTTTTATCATACATAAACTAATTATAATACTTAATATGCTCTATTTACATAAAATTATACAACTATATACATAATATTAATATCCTTAACCTATGTATTATAGGCAAAAATCCGTCAATATATTATAAATACAAATATATACTTTTACAGATTATAAAATAAAAAATATAGATTAATGCCATTTATAATTTATTGGCCAAATTATTTTTTTCAGATTTGATATCATGTTTCTATTTATAAATTATTAAAATAATATTAATAAATTACTAACATTAAAAAAATAGATATATACACTATATATTAAAAACTTACCAAAAACCTATGTGGCATAAGAATAGGTGCAAAAAGTGTCCAAAAATAAATCAAGAAACACAACCAACTTGATATCACCTTAACCCATACGATCACATTACTATGACCTACTGTTACCAATTTTTCTTTTCCAGTCATGGTAATAGTATTCCTTTTCATTTACAAAAGGCAGAAACATGTTTAAAAAAAAATGAAAATATAAATAAGTAATATACAATTCATTTTATAAAAATACTTACCAGTATGTCAATAACATTGAAACATACATTGTAGCAATAGCAAATATGAAGTGAAAGAATTCGTAATTATATGCAATTTTAAGGTTTTGATTATCATCATTTGTATTGGTAGTCTGTTCACAGCTAGAATGACAAAGAATAAAAAGGTTAAGTTTGAATCAAATAATGTAAAATTGATATGTATCCATTTAATTACCATTTCTCATTCATGGACATCTTTTCATAAGAACATGAGTTATTTTTTTCATTTTGTTGAACTATGGGATTATCTTCTATAAGGAAGTCATCATTAAAATGATTAGGCTCATACATTAATTCGTTGCCTTTGCAAGCGGTTCTAAATGTTGAATATGCAACGGCTACAAATGTGAATATCGCCCCAATGGCAGTGGTAACTTTACGGGCCCGATGGTTACTTGCCAACGGATTACACATATGACTGTCAAATGGTTCATTCGCTATGGCGCTCATTATAAGATATGTACAGTATAATACCACCATTGAAGCTTGAGAGAATCCTGAGTTAGGGTTTGCTTTTTTTATAGCCGGATGAATAGAAAGAAGTATTGCAATAAAACATAGAACAATATTGGATATTATGAAAAAATTATTTGATTGACAATCAGGACCGGTGAAGTATTTTAGCATAATGCCAATAAATATGAAGGCGCCAACGAACATGGCAATGGTTGAAGAGGTTAAAAGACATTTCCATTTGTTGCTCTCAGAAGATGACGCAATTTTTTCTGCGCATTTTTCACTCCACGTATGTGCGAAATTAACCAAAAGAACTAAACCAAATAAGATGAAACAAACAGCGCCAATTACAGAAACTAGATTGCCCCAAACTATGAATAATTCATTTGGTAGAAAGAAAGAGAAGACAAGGAGGAATATCCATAATAAAACTTTAGAACCCCACCAACTTGTATAAAATTAAAAGATTAATTATAAGATATTTTGTCAAGAGAATAAAAGGGAAAGAATATGCATGTGCCAAGTAATCACCTATAGTGAACACTAGCCCATTTATCGCGTTTATCTTTAACTCCGAGAACCAAACGACCCAAAATGAAATGAAAAATTGAAAGGGAGAAACAGATTCGATGAACCTATTATAAAAGAACCATATTATTTGTAGTGTAACAATTATATGTAAAAAAAAAAAAAATACACAGAATGTATATATACCGCGAGCACCCCATAACAATCACCCTCTGGACAATTCATCTTTAAGTAATGATACGCATGTTTGTCTAATTTTTTGAGAGCCCAATGAGACATCATTAACCATGCGAGCTGTATTTAGAAAAAGTATAATTTATATTTGGCCAATGAAATTGCATATATTTAACACGTGAAAACTAACCGTTGAATTCAAGAAAAAGATGATCTTCGGAAAATGTGATGGGAATAAGTATACCGAGAAAAGAGAAAATCACAAAAAGAATATAATAAGTACATACAGCATATCCAACTTTCGTTATCATGAAATTGGTATGATTGCAAGGGATGAAGCCTAAAGAGCATATTGTAGCAGACAGGCAAGTCGTAATCCATGATGCATTATCAAAAGCCATTTTTCGATCAAATGCGCGTTGGTTGTTAAGGGAATACAGTACTAGTTAGGAAAAAAGACATACAAAATTTCACATAAGATTAATGCAGAACCAAAAGATTTCAGGTCAAGAAAGAAAATATAGTATAAGAGTAAATGGCCAACATTATGTAATATTTTAGGGAAAAAGGGATATGAAATTTATGTTAAAGAATCATATGTGGATAAAGTTGTATAGTAAATGAATATAAGGTATTTCTCTTGTTAAGACAAATAAATGGATGAAAAAAAAGATTAGTGTTCTAAATATGAACAATGTCACGAGAAAACAAAGCTCGAGACATTAAGGTGAAAAGTTGGAAGTTCAGTTAAAAGTGTCATTAAAACGTGTCAATGTGACCATGTCGACTTTTTTGAATCGTGGACATTAATTACCTTGCTTAAAGTTTTAGAAACAAAAGGATTAGGAAAAAATTCTTCCGAGAGAGAAAAGAATGAGGATATAAAATTAATCAGTTTTCCAGTAGACATTTGTATCATTTATATCTTAACGACAGTCGATCACTATTCCAATAGAAACGCGAAAGTATATAGTTATTAATCCCATTGGCCATCAACAATGGGCGGGCAACGAATGTGTAAGCCAAAGAGGGAAACGTGTTTTTCGTTTGAACTGGAGAAATTATTTTTGGTATGCAAGCCACAATATTACACCAAATAAATCTGATTTATTCTTCGATTTTAGTATAAATTCCGAAATAACTAGTTTAAAACATGCAAAACGCAGATACAAAATTAATTATTTGAAGCGTATCGATACATACATATATTTTATCGCATATCTAAAATTTGTAATCATAAGATAGCCAGATAACACAGTCATGCGAATCGGTCCGAAAAGATAATTCGTTGGTTTTCGGGGTTGTCAATTCAACAATTCTAAAGATGATCCCGAAACTGTTAGAAATACATATTCATGTACTGCTTTAAGTGCGGCATGCTCGTTTAAGAATCGACCAAGTATAGACAACGCAATGGCCAGGATAAAATATCTCTTAAAAGTAGAATAATAATATTGATTTAGAGAGAAGAAAAATCCCCTTGAGTTTACATAATAAGAAACGATCGCCTAATATATTCTCAAGAATTTCATGACATAAGAATCAAATATAGCAATTTGGCATTTTACACAACATAAAATATTTATATTGTGAAGCAAATTATCATGATGCTAGAAAACTCTACCAACAAGTTACGAGAAGATTTTCACTCACGAGGCAGATTTATGGATGTCTTTGGACGGAAAATTCAGCTGCCGCTATCTCATTTTGATTCTCATTTTGATTCTCATTTTGATTCTCATTTTGATTCCCATTTTTATTACGTAATGAACAGATCAAGATAATATCTATTATAGTTCACTCGTGCATGAATTTTGAAGCTCTATTGGTCTTGTCGATCGATCTATTCATGCACGTATCTTATTTGACAAAACAATATTTTTTTTGTTTTAAAAAATTTACAATTCGGAATTTGAAACTCGACCTCGGAACTACAAATTTGTTCTTATTTTGTTAGGTGCACAGACCTTTTATTTCAAAATTAAAAAATTAAAAATTGTCTTCATTCGAATTAAAAATTCTTCATAACTGAGATTTACAAACACGGCAAAAATATAAATAGAGGTTTTTTTCTTGCTGACATTTTTGCTTTCCTAATAAACATCGGGATAATCTGAATAAGCAACAAGATTATACTTGTAATTAATTGTAATCATTGTGATCATTGTGATATATTTACGCTTGCTTCCAAACATTTAACGGTAATGTTTAGGAAACAGTTCTGTGTAACATAAGACGTGAAATTCAAGAAAATCGAAAACCGTTGACATTTAAGCATATCATAATTTAAGTACATAACGTACTGTACGTACGTACGTATCATGCGATATGGCAAACATGAGGACAATGTTGAGGCGAAATTTTATACAAGTTCGTATTCGTTTAAGGAATAAATCTTCAAAAACTGATCAGCTGATGTCTATAGGTGAGATAATTCCCGAATAAAAGGGTAATTTGATAATGTAAATAATCTTTAAGTATTGACGCAATTATTATACGTATTATTTTTCACCAATAAATTATTAAAATGTTTACACAGTTAATCATAGATCAACTGCTAAATCAATATCCTTTGTAATACGTATTAGCGAAGAAACCTTCGCTTTGACTAATATGTCAATAAGATCTACATAAGGCTGCAAGATAATGAAGATCACACACAATGTTATTATAATGCAGATAAGTATTATAGCCAATCATATATCTATTGATCAAGCCTCTCAATTAGATCATGAGCATCTTTACTTAAATATTATCATATCATGGTACATAGGGGTATTACTATATTATGATACACTAATGATTTCTCGTAGTTATTCGATAATAAAGAAATATATCATCATTTTTGAACAATAACCTCTTAAGCTTTTTGTAATAGATAATCGTAACACGTTTGAGACGAGTTTTCTTATCAAGCAAATTAGCTCATTAAAGCCTCTGGCACTAAAAAGGACATCATGCACAAAAACGTACAATACGTACAATAGCAAATTGTTCAAATATTCTTCATTCTCCATTTCTCCTCAAGATACAATACTTTCAGGTGCTTCTTTTCGACACAAGAGAATATTAAATTATAAAGTTACAGATAGCGCCGTTGCCAAACATTAACATGCGACGTAAGTAATCTCTCATAGTAGGGGTTTCGGTTTGCAGAATCTCAATTCGGTCCAAATTGACGACACCCGAAGTTCAGGCCAATATTTGTAATCTTCCAATAAAATGACCTTTTAGGATTATATAATTATCCAGAAGAGTTCGTTTGTTAAGCAAAAATCTCATATATTACATGTCCCAATCTTTCACTTCAACTTGAAGTGAAAGTTCGGATCATTAAATGCTGCGGCAGTAGCACATCCGTACCCTTATGCCAAGCGAAAATCGGACCCTTCCGATCCAAATACTTGGGTTGGAGTATTCTATCTATATCTTATATGAAAGAGTAAGTTCTATATCTAAATTTAATGCTGAACATTTTAATTAGAAGTCGGAAGTTGGTTAGCATAATAAAATTTGACTCTATTTAAGAATTTTTACTTATTGATGCCGGACCAGAAATTTTAAAGTTGGAGGTCGATTTTCACTTGATATAAGGGTACTTTCGAAATGTGAAGGCCTCCTTGGTGGGGTACTCTTATGTACCTCCGATCTTAAAATTTCTGGTCCGGAACCAATGAAATTTTGGGATCTTGTGTAACAAAACAAACAGTGAAAACAGCAAAAAAAAGTAATTGCAGCAGAGTTCATTAATGTTACACATATATTGAAACTGGTAAAGGATTATATTTATTACAATTGAATCCAACATAAATAATTTAATTTGTAATTAATCACAAGTAAAAGGGATTTACTTTGGATCGGGCACTGTTACTACTTTTTTTTTTCCTTAACTTTAGCAGTTTTGTTGATTGCTCTTTATTAAAATATCATGTTTTTATACAAACCATTTTTAAACTTAACATATTGAGTTAATATTTTGCAGTTACTTTTATAAGCATTTACAAACAATTTGTTTGCATCAGTTGCTTAATTTTTTTTTAAAAAAAAAGATCTAAGAGTGCATCTAATTATTGTTTTACAATAGGATACTACTAATCTAATAACATCTTTTTGTAAAGCAGTAAAAAAAAACAAAAAAATAAACTTATTATATAATAAAAAACAAATACAAAGATATAGAGAATAAAAATAAAAGATACAAATTAAGAAATAAAAGAGGTAAAGAAAAAATCAAGAAAAAAAAGAAAAAAATATATGTAACTTTTATTATACAACTATCATATAGTCACAATTATAAGCCTATATTGAGGCTTAAAAATTATAAACTATATTAAATAGAATTAATTCTATTATTATTCTATTTATTTAGAATATTTAATAAAAAAAAAATCATATTAGATAAAAACTTTGACTTAAATGTAAAGAGTTAGTATAAATACTGCTTAATCTAAAAACAGTATTTTACAAAAGTTCAACAGTCTGAGACATGTATATGAGTCATGTTTGTGTTGCTGTATTGTTTTTACAATTCTGTTTAAAAAGTAAATACTGATAACTGTTTTAGTGATTTTATATATTGATCTTTTAAAATGAGTAAACTAAATAGTCTACTTTTTACAAAAATTTTTTCAAAAAAACAAAAAGACATAAGATAAACTAAACTATAATTTTTGTAAGTTCTTGACTCTTTTGAGTGTTTTTTGTAAGTTTTATAATTGTATAAAAGTAATATATTTAATTTTGTTATTTATTTTATAGAAAAACTTCTAGCTTTCATTAAGCATACTTCTATAGTTTTAGAGTATTTTTAAATCATTATTACAAAGTGATAGCTTCTTTTTTAACTCTATTTCAATGTGAGCACTGTCACTACTATATTTTTAAATAAAGTTAAATTTTATTATACTAATCAATTTTATTAATAATATTTGGCTTGTAACTGTTATATACAACAATTTTGAAAATAATCATAAAAAGAATATACAACTAGTTACTTATATAACTTTAGTTATTATTTAATTTAATTAGTTTATTTAAAGATTTATATTAGTTGTCATATTTAGAATCTACTTGTAGGTTTTTTATTTAATATTCTAGTTCTTATATCTGTTTTTATTTTACTAATTGCATTTTTTTTTTTTTTTTTTTTTTTAACTTTAGCAGTCACACTAGTACTTTATTAGGATTCTTGAAACTATACAGATTATATAGAATTTTTTTGATATTTAAGTCTAGCATTACCTGGCTGCCCAAATGGTATCTAAGTACGACCTGCCGCACTATCCCAGTTAGAGATAGACTGCTCGTCTGACTGCTGCCCTACAATAGGACATCGCC